GACCTGCCTCCTGCTTGTGCCGTGGTAGATGCTACAGGACAGGTTCTTCTCAATCACATATTTCACGAAAGTACTTCACCGTTCACAACCGAAGCCAGAGCTATCCTTCACGCTGCGAACCTTGCCCATAAAAGCAAACTCAAAACCGTCTTTGTTACCGACAGTTTGTCTGTATTACAAGCTATTCGGAACACTTCGACTTCGAGATGGAGCACCATTAACAAATTAAGAAATATAATTACTATACCCGACAGAAAAATTAAAATGTTATGGGTACCAAGTCACATCGGTTTATTGGGAAATGAGCAGACTGATCGAGCGGCAAAGTACGCTGCTTCTGCTCCTCTAATTATGGATGATGTCATGGAAAAGTTGGATCTTCAAAGATACATTGGAAGAAAAGTTAAAGTGAAAATTGCAGAAGGAAATTTACTATACCATCATCAACACTACTCTTCTATTAACCCTCAATTAATTCCATCTTTATATCCAACAAACGTTGAGAAAACCAAGATCCAAACATTTTCGAGAATTCGCTTTGGTCGTACTATTGCAACTCACCAATGGATCTTGAAGAAGTCTTCCTCCCCAATCTGCAGTTGTGGACAAACTCTAACTATAAAGCACATTCTCTGCGACTGCCTTAAGTTTTCCTTAGCTAGAAGTATTGCATTTGGAGCGACTAACCCCTTGGACATTCTAAAATCAGCTTCAGAACCGAATATAAATTCAATATATTACTTTATTAATACTACTAAGCTCATTATCTAATGTTCATTTATTTATATTAGAGCCGATAGCCTGTGCTGCTAGTGCTCAATGTCTTTTTTTTTTTAGTCTAAGAATTTATTTCATTAGTCTAAAATTATAATAATAATAATAATAATTATATTTATATCTACATCGGTTTTGTTTTATTCACATATATATTGTATATATTTATGTTTATAGAAAAGAATCATTATATAAACTATGTAAATGTGAGCGTCTGTCTGTCTGTCTCTCCTCCCCTCTCTATCCCTCTCTCTGTATAGATATATATAGATATATACATATATGTGTGTGTGTGTCTGCGAGTATGATGAGACTCATCACCAAACATAAATACTGCCGCAGGCCTAGAAAATAAGTAAGTGCGTAAGTGTAGAGATCTGGCTATTTCCAATTTCTTATACATATTACTTTTCTTCAATATATTTACTTCGCCAATAAAGTTTTATATTCCTTTCATTCAGTGAACGGTGTTTGTTTTAACGCAAGACCAGCGATACTATCAATGCAAACTAACGTCCTTGCAAGCTTGAAGCATTTTATTGAAACGATAAACTATTGTTTTGTTTTTTTTTTATTTTATCAATGGGAGAAAATATAAAGGGAATAATTATTTTATTATTAGTTCCACAATTTATTTAGTGAAGAAAGTCCAAGATGAAATGGACTAGAATCTACATGACAATTACTTAAGATAACCTGTACGTTATGGCTGCGGGACGATATACACAGCGATTAGTGATTGTCATTGCAATGACAATATAAATATACGCCGAGTTTTTACAACCGATAAAGTAGTCCGCAGAAGCGGTCTTAGCATTCTTTCAACAAACTAAATAAGTAAAGGTATAGACAAATTACAATAATATGCGAAATCTCAATTCTAACACTTTGGATACTTAGAGAACTTACTTAAGAATTTCTAGAACGTAACTTAAAACACTCTATCTGACATCTGCGATTAGAATTGAGGAAAAATGTTCCGATTCGGATGAAAGTGTTCAATACCGACAAAATGACAATCAAGCAACATCGACGAGCTATACTTTTGTACGCTGGAAAGCATAACGCATTTGCCAAAAATACATCATTTTTTATATCATCTAAATCATATTTTATTCGCATGAGTAGCCGAGTAGGTAAGAAACGCGACCATAAAGTCAGCGTTCGCAGATTCAATTCTCAGTACGGTAGAGTTTGGTCTTTGGTCATAGCTGTAGTGAGTGCCCAGTCGGTAAAGGCATAAAACATATCGATTCGGCCCACATCCACTAGGCTACGGTCACCACCTCCCTCTTCCTTTCTCTTTCCTCACTTTTGTCTGGGCGTCACCCGAGTGATTGGTCATGTTAAAGGAAAAAAGAACACAGAGTACAAGAAACTATTCAATCATTTATTGCGGAATAGACTCATTTAACATGAATGTTTGCGAAATGAAAAACAACGCTATGCGATTGGCATATAATGGCATATATAATATACTCAAGTTATAGATTATATTGGTCTTTAGATGCTTCACTTCGACTTGCTATTACTGCTGAAACAATATATATATCTCTGAACTGTTTTGAAAAAATAAAGAGATACCTCCACTATAAACGCAATGAAATATCAACAGGTTGTGGTGATATTTTTAAAGAAGTATATTCACTATTGGATATGCTATCGGAAACCTTTGCAAGTGGCTCGAAAACCATAAACAATTTGTAGATAGTCTATTCACGTCACTACCGTTAATGAAACCTCTGAAGACCAAGTGTATTTCGTCGTGGATAGTATAAGAAAAAATACAGTATCTCAGGACGCTAGGAAGCTTGGATAAGAATCTACTGCGATTTTTGTTCAAACGACCCCTAGCTATCATGTGGCTGATGTTTAGTGCCTTCCCTATTTCTAATAGCTTACATGTCGGTCTTGCTCCACCAGTTGCAAAATTTCATCGACTTTTTCGACTAGGGCGGGATGCATCCGTGAGATCGAAATTTCTGGGACGGAATCGAGCAAACCATTCTTGAGTTCTTTGTTCACTCAAAGCATTCTCACTGCACGCTTCAAAAGTTTTTCGACGTTTTACATTTTTTTATAACAAATGACCATCAGATAACGTATATCTTCAGATATTTCACCTATTTTCAAATCAATAAATCTTTTTAAACGAGCAAAGAATTATAAAACTATCTTCACAAGAAATGTAAGCTGAAATGTGAACTTTTGAGCACATGTTTGTTTGAGACAACCAGATGAGTATTTCCCGATATATAGGCATTAACACTATGCCGCGAAAAAAACCGCAAAAACTTTTTATATGAGCTTCCTTATTAAGGTAGAATCCAAAAAATAGGCCGAGATGGTCGAAATTTGCTACAGTTAATTTTTTGTCTTAAATTGCTATTTAATTGCAACGCTTCATGACGAAAATTGTATCTTTTTGCCGTGCGAACTTCAGTTTTCGCTATATGAGAGGAGGTTCAAAAATTGCTCTAGCCGGTGCAAAGTTTGCATACCAATTTAGAATAGCGAAATACTATTACCTAGCGGCTTTTGACGAGAAATTTTAAAATTTGCAATTTTTTTCCATACAACGAATTTTCAGAATAAGGCGTTATATGGGGGAGTGGTCGAAAAAATGCACCGATCAGAACCATTTTCAATAGTGTTCGTCCTAATCACGATCTATTGCGCTCTGTCCGACTATCCGTCTGATGTCTATCCATTACAATTTGTGTTCAAGTCTCAACAGCAAAATAAAACGGAAAACGCTACTGTGACGCTACGTGATACAACCCAAATCAAGACTGAAATTAAAACTCTTAAGCTAGTCACAATGGTCGGAAACAAAGTAGTCGTAATTAAGAGATTTTGATCTCACACGTTTCAGGTTAATGTGAGAAAAATCTCTGCTCGTTTTGCAATAAATTCTTTCTATCTTTGGTGAATTCTTATCCGAAGTTGAATTAGTCGACTGAACGAAATCACAATAGTAAACCAACCAACCGTAGAAAGAAATGATCATTTTTCAATTTTTATTTTTAGGCTGGATCTTTAACGCAAGTAGACATCGCGTTCGCCGTCAATTGATTTTCCCGGTTGAAAAAGCTTGAATATAAAAATTACAGACTCCAGACAAGTCCGTCATACTGCATGTAATGAACAAAGGTAGAGGAAAAATTAAGATTAAGTAAGAGTCAACTTTTTCGTATATAATCGTGTTAATGAATTAGCGCTGAGGATAGATACAATGCGATATGAAATATATTCTGGAAATTGCTTTTTGATTAGGGGAAGAATTTCGTACACAAGATAAAAGCTCCTGGAGAAAACCAATTGTATAACAAAGATTATTATCACCCAATGTTTCAAAGCCCGACACGCTATTTGAGGAGAATATTTATCACAGATAAGATTCTAAAACCAATGTAGTTATTTCACAGTCGTCGGTCTATCTGACTTAAGAGCAGCAACCAAAGTTATCTTGCACATTGCATCAGGGCATTTCAAGGGCATGTATACATTTGCGTACACAGCCAAAAGAAAAAGCCCTGTAGTAGTTAGTCAAGGCATACCCGGAAGAGCGCGAGCAAGCATTACAAAACCAGAACTTGAATGCCTAACGCTGAAAATGGGGACTACATTTGTCCTAATAACCCGAATTGACACAACGACAAAATCATGCCAGACAACTTCAACCAACAAAGTTGGAACAAATTTGCAAGACAGCGATCAACGTGATTTTATACATTATTTCGTAAGAACATAACTAGCATACGGGAGAGCGGCTAAATGACCCCTAAGAGACTGGCACGTTTACAGCATTTCATCGACCGAAGCAGCTAAGACCGAGCATTCCTGCAAGGCACACATATCGGAAAGACCATTAAAATCCATCGATTAGTGCAGGCACATGAAGTCGAATCTGTTAAGTGCCATGAAACGAAGAGATCATGTCTGCGAAATCTTAAACAAAGTATAGAACTACGTGTGGGGGAGAAATCACAAAAGTATGAGTGTACACTCAACAGAGATTGATACCTGAAGATTCTTAACAAAAGCAGATCGACTGAAAAGCTAGTTTTAAATCAAACAATATTTTCAAATAAAAAATTTTCGAGAATTAAAGGATTTAAATTTATGGTATAACGTATAAAAATTTGCGTCTTCTACATTTGCCTTTGTAAAAGTCTGGACGTAAGTATTTCAAATACAACCAATTTGGAATTTCACCCCACATCGCCGAGCAAAGTCAAGCGCATTAAATTATCGATGAATCAAAAACTTTATCGTAATAAAGGAAAATCTTAATCATCCATCAAGATAAATATGATAATAAAATTAAGAAAGGACCTAAATATTGCAAGTCTTCCTCCCTGCAATCAACTCTCACCTTCTCCTCGTTAACTTCCACTTACTCTAATTGCAGCTTCTAACAATTATTATATACATCTTAATTTAAAGACCTGCTAAAGTACGTCATATTTAAAGCGATAGGTTATAAAATTTTTTAACATAAAGTTTAAAGCAAATAACTTACGCCGATATTGTTTCTGAGTATTACGCAAAATATTGGAATTTTTCAACGAGCTATTTAAGAAATTATAATACTTTTGGTGTTGCTGTTGATCCTGTTGTGGTTGTGATAGCTGAGGACGTTCATGATGGTGAGAATGGACTTGATGATAGAGATTACTGCACTGCATCGCTGAAAGTCCGAGTAAACGATGTTGTTTATTGTTATGTGTGCATGAGGACCACGATGACGTAACAGAAGAGGCGGCCGAAGAAATGGATGCTGGGGACGATTGACAATCATGTTCGCATTTTTTTACAACGCACTCTTGCGGTTGCTGTCTGTAATACTGCCTCGTATCCTCAATGTAGCTGCAATCGTTTTGGCTAACACTTGTCAAAACATCAATTTCTACATAATGATCTTCGTTGTCGCATTCCTGTTCATTGCTTTTAGTCTGAACAGCCTGAATACAATCAACTTCAGCAAATGAGAAAAAATCATGATTACTTGTTTGATCAAATCACATATGTTCATCGAATTTAGCGAAGTTACTGTTGTCATCTTCCCAGAGATGTTGATGGGAGTGAGTATGACTAAAATGATTGCTTCCGTCAGAAGAATTTTTGTGAGTATCCACTTTGTCTACAATCGTGTTATTACTTGTAGCGGTAGTTGTTACAACAATGTCTGCGCTTGTTGATGGTGATTTAAAGAACTCATCGTCTTCGAAGGGATCCTCAGACTTCCTTGCAAATATATTTATAGATTCCGATTTTTTTATTAATTCTTGCTGACGCTGTTGCAGTATACTATTGCGCATTTGTTGCTTTTTATTATTCACAGCGTTGGTTGTTTTTTGTAAGGCTTCCCGCCATTGATCATCATTTTCAAATGCATCAAACGTTGCTCTGGAGAAATCATCTTCAAATGCCGCAGAATCGTCAAATTGCGAAACCTTGACATTATCATCAAAACGCAATTTTTGAGCCGCACTTTGACTACTGCTACCACCACCCCCACCACCTGTTGATGATTGTGGCGATGGAATGCCTCTGCTTTCCAGATCATATAGATGAGAGCTGCTTAGTTGAGGAGTCAAGTGTTTTTCTCTTTCTAGACCAGCAGAAAAATCATTTGAGAAACGAAACGAGGCTTTAGTAGCCGGCGTATTAGTGGCGCTGACACTAGTTACTGGTGTAGAGTTACAACTTGAGGCAGTGCCAGCCGGAGCCGGAGGAGGCGATGACTGATTGAAGTCAGATTCGAAGCCAACATCGAAACTGAATTTCGTACTAGTATTTGGCGTAGCTGTAGGTAGAGTGCTGCTAGTGTTTGATTTAGGTGTAGGGGTTTGTTCATATTCAACGTCCTCAAAACCGTAGTCTTGATGAGCACGTTCAGGAGGTGGCAGTCGTTGCCTCGCATATATCTTAGCACTCTTGCGATAGCCAGAAAGAGACGATCCAGATAGGGATCCGGCAATCACTTTTGCTTTGCTGCCATGATGCCGCCTTTGCTCACTTTCCATCATGCGCTGATTCATCTCATGACGACGGCGGTTCAGACGGTCGAATTTGTCTTCATCTGTAGGCATTTCGTCGTCATCATCTTCCATGCCTTCTTCTTCCTCCTCCTCATCAACATAGTCTTCGACATCGTCGTCGATATCATCACCGCAAGTAATATAATCATAACTACCTGGACGTGTGCCACTAGTACTCGTATTGTCACGATAACGTCCTCCAGTAACTGTGCATTGGGCTGCTTTATTGCGTGGCCGTTGTTTTTTACGATAGTAATAAGCAATCATCACGCTGCCTGGACCTCCTGCTGCTGGAGTAATTATATGACTACGTGATGGACGTTGATCCCTATCAGAGTCTTGTTCATAATCAATGTCGCCTGAAATTCTGGAACCTTTCACCGTTTTTCGAAGTGACCGCGTTTTTTCGCTAGACATGTAGCGGTGATCTCGATACTCATCACGAACTTCAAAACTACCATATGAATCAGGCGTTGGACCACCACCACCGGCACTACTACCAAAACTTCGCCTTCGTCTTCGCGGAGCTGTAGAGCTTTCAAAAGATTCTATACTTTCCCGGTCAAATGATTTTCGATCACGGTCGTACAAATACATATCAACAGGGCGTTGGCTTTTAAATCCACCTCCCATCGATGGTGGTGTATGGCGACCCTCGTCAAATATGTTTTCATAGTCGGGTCGCCGAGGCATTTTCAATTTCTCAAAACTATCTGCGTTGCTATCTCGATATGGAAGCACATCTCCAAAATCGTCGAAATCAGAGTTAGAGTTTCGAGCGTGCTCATTGCGATAAAATTTATTACGCTTTTCATAGCCTATATTCGATCGACGATCATGGCTTGCTGTAGACATTAAAGGTGGAGGAGGCAAAGGTATACCTCGTTTATCGTAAATGGATAAGCCATACAAGTTTCTTTCATAGGCTCGGCCTCTAGCCTGTTCGATATCCTGAGAAGACCAAGTGTGATGTGGAAGGGTTCCATGGTGGTACCATGCAGGAGAATCTTCAAGAATACAATAATCTTAAAAATATACCAATTTCTTATTTAATAAAATATACACTTACCTAATTCAAAGTTGTCACGGCTACGGGACAAGGTTGTTTTGAATTTTCTTTGATCTCTGCGGTTGCCAGAAAATTCTTCCTCATAACTGGTAATAGCAAAAAAGAAATCGACTTTATAACTTACAAAGCTTTTTTAATACTCAAAACTTACTCATAGTCTTCATCACAAGAATTCATACGCTTGATATAACGTGTATGGTAGGCATGACGGTCGGTGTTAAGAATACTTCCTCCAACCGAAGCAGGCGGCCTTTTGCTTTGAAGATATTCTTGAGACACAGGCCCTTGCTCGTCATCCCAACTAAGGTCTCGTGATGATGAAGAAGTATGCTGCCTTTCCTTTTTATGCCAACGCCTACTTCCTCCGGGTGTTGCAGCACTATGATGACCCGATGACACATTACCGCCACTACGTTTATGCCAAGCTTCATCTCGAGGATCTGACGAGCAAGGAGATTCACCTGCCGTATCGTTCTGAGAGGTATTCGATGCCGGAGCAGGTGGCGGCGGCAAATGAAGAAAATTAGTCGATTTAGCTAAAGATTTTACCGCAGGTCTTGAACGTCTGTCTATACTTGGCTGGTCTTGAGGTGTATCAAAAGTGGCCCAAGAATCGACGGAGACTTTTGCTAATGTATCAGCCTCTATCTCCTTAGTAGCGGTATCAATAAGTTGGGACACGGCAGTTAATTGTGTCGGCAATGGAGAAATTTGTTTAGACTGAAGAGATTTGTTTGCCGACGTTCCACTGGATGCCTGGATTGGTAAAGGTGACCGATGCATTTGAATCGGTGAAGTACTCACATCGTTAAAGTGTTGCGGTGTCATAGTCGTAGTTGCCGTGGTTGCTGTTGTATTTTCCGCGGGAATTGCGGGTAAACTTTGTGTTGTTGAATTTGCTGGCGAATTACGCTCTCGCGAATCTAAAGACAAATTGGAAATTGCTCTATGCATTAATGCATCGATTTCCAAATCATCTTTAGACCCAGAAAGGCTAGAAGTAGCAACGCTTGCTACAGTTAGTAATTTATTTTCAGTGCATGGTTCGGTCTGACTTTGCGTTATGCTAATCTTGGGATTTTCTTCCGTTTTTCCAGCTTTTTCGTCAACCTGCTCCATTTGCTGAGTCGAATTGGGCAATTGCTCATACTTTCCAGTAGGTAAAATTTCCTTGCCATCTTTTTCATGGCTGTCAGCGCTGCTGGCGCAGCCCACATCTTCTTCGCCCTCCTCATTAATCTCCGTTCTGGTTCTAGAACCGCGTTCCGCTTCTTCCTCGTCATCTTCATCATCCACCGTTAACGCTGACGAAGACGGTTCGACTAGTAAACCGCGGCTGTCCACTAAACCCATCCTTTGTTGTTGAGCACATGATTCTAGTACAGCACCACCATCCATAAGCTGTCTTAAATCGTGATCTTCATTATTAAAATCATCATCGTCGTCGTTAAAACCAGTAGAACTTGGAGCTGGGGATTTAGATTCTACACATAGAGATTCACCCGGCCTTTGTAACGGCTTTTCGAAAAGATTCTCCACTAAAATAATGTCTCTCAAAGCTGCATAACGATCCTTAGCTTGAGCCACTACTTCCGTAATCTTCGTATCGATTTTTGCAGGTACGGGATTAACATCCACCAGTTCTCCACTTAAAATATCTTGACGTATAATGGAGGATTCCGATCCTCCCGAAGGAAATTGCATTTGAAACTGAACGTGATTTAGATTATCAGCGTCAACATCACTGGATTGATCACCACTTAGCACCAGATCGCCAATTAAGTTTGTGTCCTGTTTTTGCTGCTGCAATTCCTGATCAATAATTTCCCGAAAGACAGCATAACGATCAGCAGGTGGAACCGCGGGTGTCTGACAAATTTCCTCTATTGCTGATTCCATGTTCATCTTATCGAACTGAGCAAAATTTGCTTCAAACGAAGCGTGGTTCGTCTGCAGAACTAAATTCTCGCCAAATGTATCATCAAATTTAGCCACAAATGTAGCTTCCTGGTCGAAATTAATTTTAAATATGGAAGGAGTTTGCTCAACCGACGTTTCGATTGTGGGTATATGATCAAGTTTTGATTCGTGTAGTGTTTTAGGCTTAGACTTTTCTAAAAATTCAGACAAGTATGAAGTTAATTCCACCAAGGTCATTGTGCTTAATTTGCTGATTGGAACATTTAATTTAGCCGATAATTCGTCGATGCTCAACGTTAACAACTGACTCAACGTGATGTCGGGTACAATCGTTTGCTGTATTGTTGCGGCGGTAACCGGTTGTTGTTGCTGTTTTTGCTGCTGCTGTTGTTGCTGTTGTTGTTGCAAAATTTCGTTTTTATTCTCATATATATCTTGAGCTTTCGTCTGATGTAATGAGTATTGCCGTTGCGTACGAGCTCGGGAAGAAACTTGCGTAGGTGGCGGGAGTAAAGGAGGTACATCAAGATTGGAATTGCCTTGTGATCCACTAGGATTAACATGAGTTCCTAACGGTGTTAAGTAGTCATCTTCACTGTGCCCAGGTTTTCGGGGCCTTCCTGGTCCAGGATAGTTGCCTTCTGAGCGGCCAACTTTACGTGATGGTAAGGGTATAGGCGGTACTTCAACTATTATTGATGCTGAACTGCGAGTTCCGGTTACCAGCTTGGATCCACTTCCATTGGCATTTATAAATTCATATCCATTGTTTAAAGATGTTTGAGACAACGGTGTGCGCGGTTTTATAATGATGTCATTAAACTGCTTTTTGGGCGGCAAAGGTGGTGGCTCTGCATACGAAGACGAATCCGGTCGGGGAGGAGGTTCTGGCGCAGCTTCGTTTTCACTCAATGAATCACTTTCTTGCAAACGACGCATATTTATAGAATTAGAATCCCGCTTTGAGAATCTCGAAGACTGCCCGAACAAATGAGGTATTTTTTTGTTCGATATACTCGATAACACATCAACAGTTTGTTGTTTAAACACTGAAGAAGTCGCATTTGCGGACGACAATGGTGGCACTATTGCTGACGCATTTGGGCGAGACCGTATAGTGCTAGTAACCGTCATTGCTTGAATTCCACTCTCTGGTGGTAAATTAACTTGTAAGTGACCGCTGAAAACATCAGAAGATGACTGTTCGCCTCCTTCTATACAAGCCGCCGAGGAAGCAAAACTTTTTTTTAAACTTTCTTCTCCGACTTCTTCGGAAGTATTAAACTCAAATTCAAATGGATCCAACTTTGAAAATATTTCACCACCTTCCTCAAAAGGATCGCTTTTCTTACGAGTAGGTGAAAAAGGGTCTGTATCACGCGGCAGCATTACTTGATCGGCAGTATTACTACTGCCGTTTACGGGCTCTAAAGGATAACGAGCAAAACGTAAGGCATTAGTTTGAGTTAACGGTGTGTTAGAAAAAGTTGATGAGAATTTAACTAGCGGTTGAGAATTTGCTATACTTGCACCAGCTGAATTGTTTTCTGTTTGTGTTAATAAGCCACTGGGGACGGTGTTAGTAAATCTATTCGCAGAAGTGTTAGTTAAACTAGTTGAGGTTACAGTAGGACAAGTGCAAATTAATGTGCTGTTAGACACACAAGATGATAATGCGGTGCTTACACAATTTGAAGCAATAGCTGTGCTGGTTATTGAAGCTTGAGTCATACCATTAGTACCGTTAATACCTGATGACGATGGTAGGAAATTGTTAGTAGTAGTTGCTGTTGTAGTGATTGCAGTAACACAATTAGAGGAGGACATTAAATTTGATTGAGTTGATTTCAAGTCTAGATCGCTGAACTTTAATTTACTCTCGGAGTGCATATCTGTGAAGAGTTTCTCTTCAGTTTTCAAGGCCGTTATTGTTATGGTGGTGGATGTTGATGTTATATTGGTGGTAGAATTAATTTCAATGCCATTGACTGAACCCGTTAAATCTTTAAGAACTTTTTTGGGTGGATTTTTAAGCTCTTGAAAAAAGTATTTCTTATCAACATAAGGCCGTGTTCGGCCAGTACCTAAAGGATCCAAATCTGTAAAGGCGTCTAATCCATTTGAAAGAACAGCAAAGAAAATAAATCAATTAAACTAACCAGTAGTTACGGACACAGCTTACACAACGCAAAAAATAGTGGAATGTATGTAAAAACGAAGAAAACAAGCATATAAATAAATATCAAGAGACAGATTACTTTCGGCTTTGGCCGAATGCTTTCATACCAACCACCTACTATGTTATATGCAAGAACAAATACTTTATAAAGTAGGTACGGACATGGATAACCTTAGATTGTCAAAAGGGAATTTATGTACACATGCAAATGTACTTTATATGGAACGGTATTTTTATTATGTTTCCGTAATTCAATACTTAACATAATTGAGAAGACTTAAGCCCACAACGTTATTTGTTCTTCTGATATCAGTAGCCGATGGGTTTCTTTTGAAATAATGCAACAGTGTGGCATATTGTCAACACCGAGGTAGGCAAGTTGTTATTTGTTGGTATGCGTTTGCTCAAGTATTCGTACAGAATATGGATAATTTAAAAACGGTCCTCGATTTTAAAAAAATCTTGCGTACACTTAGCATTGCCAACTGATCAAAGATACACATTATGAACTTCCTATGTTGTGTTCTTTTCTATTGTAAAACTCAGAAGGACAAAATCATTAGACTTTCCGGTGGTAGGTGTAAGGAAATTATTTGTAAAATTTTGATTAAAAACTAAAAAATACTCTACGGCCTAATTTTAAATTTTATTTTAAATAAAAGTAATGAAACTCACCAGATTTAATTTGAGTTGAGGAAATAGTTTGATTGGCTTCGCAGAGTCCGCTGGTGGTTTGAAAAAGATCTGTTAGACTAGAACTATTGGTCACATTATTAGTTTCTGTAAGCGTTGCTGCCGTATTCACGGTTGTCATATTTGGTGTCAATTCGGTTACTACATCAGTTGAGGTCGGAGCCGAACCTATAGCTGCATATAACTGCTGAGTTGGGGTGGTCAAAGAAGTTTCAGAAGCAGCCAAAGGTGCCATTACATTACCAGTCCATGTTGTTATACCCATTAGGCCAGGTAGAGTTGTTTTTGACGTATCAAAAACATCATTCTGAGTATCCAGTTCCCGCAGCCAACAATCCTCGTCATCCAAAGAAGGCAAGTTTTGAGCATTCAGAGTAGGAGACGAACGTGGCTGCCCTTGAGCAGGGGTGGTTGTACTGTTGGAAGCAGCAGACGTTGTAACGCCCATATCAATTGCTTTATTATTGGCTTTACTACGTGAACGACCTGGTTCTGGTGGCGGCAATAAGCTGTAGGTCTATAGAATAGAGAGAGTACGGTTTAAATTTTTATTATGTTTTAGGAAAACATGATATACCGTGAACGAATCCCCAAAAGGATCATCATTAACCGAAACACTATTGTTTTTTATCCCGCTGCCGGCTATTGCTGGTGGAGTATCATTTGGTGTTATTCGTTCCATTTGGGTAATGCCACGTTGTAGAGAACTTAGCTCCTGCTCTAAATCAACCAAGTCAGCAACAGATTCCGGTGATAGCTACAAAAATATTATTTTATTAATTAAAAATCTGAGGCGTGTTCGAATTTGGCGGTTGTTTAATATTCATAATAAGAAACCTACAGACAACCTAATATAAATATAAGCAATGACAACCTTAAGTAACGTGCCATATCCGTGAATATAGACTATTTCATACATCGTCAAAAAATTTGAAATATGTTAGTTTACATTGTATATTTTCTTAATCAAAATCATTCAATCAATCCAACGTGCATCACGTTCAAAATTTTACGAGAATGTATGTAATGTTTGTTTTTTGCAACAAAAGATATTTTGACAAATTAGCTGTACTTGTTATAATTAAAATTGTAATAATTAAAATTTAGAAGAGAAGTACAGCACCGAAATCGTTCCTGTGTGATGGTAAAACGAAATATCTTTTCTGTCGTACTACCTACCTCTTTTGCCGCTCCTTTATTGTCAATATTAACATTCAAACGATTTAGTGTGGCTGTATTTGTAGTAACACCTCCCAAACTACTGCCCAATACACCTCCAGATGAAATATTGGTCAGGCCCGCTGATAAATCATTTTGTCCACTATTAACTCCAGCTGCGCCACTTGCGGTGGCGGTCACACTTCTCAAGGAAGACAAAGATGATAATTGCTGCTGATGGTCATGATGTAAAGTCTTAGATTGTATTTGTTGACGGGCTAATTCTATCTCTTTTTTCTTCAATTCAAATACAACTTGAAAGAGATCACGCATGGCTAAAACTACTTGACTAGCTGCTTTATCCGTTTTAATGCCAAAGAAACGATGACCACTATCCGGTGAACCGAATATGTAGCCAAATGCCCGAGTGTCGGTCATGTCCTGGGCAATAAATGAAATTTTATGAACTGGGTGATGATATAGTGAATCACCCGTCTTTTCATCACGTAAACGTAACCCATCTATGGTTACATGTATAGTGATACGTTGCTTATGTTCCCCGGCTGCACGTATAGCCATTTTGAGATCTTGTAAAGCCTCCTGGCACATTCGATCACCACGAGCCTCTCCCACTTCCAAAATTCCAATAAGCTTTGCTTTAAATTGTACGCCATCGCCAAAAAAACGCCCCGGATCATTACGATCTAAAAAGAAATATTTTGAATATGGCTAAGAAAAATTGTGTTCAATAGCTTCACTAAACAACAATTTATGGCCTCATTTAGGTGTCTCATTTTAGTATGCAGAAGGGCATTACAGCTATAATAAAACAGTCAAAGGATACAACATATTGTTAGCTAAACTGAAGTGAAAACATTCTGTTCTGCATTATAAACGTTAACGTATCTGCGAGATCCCTAAACTTACTTTAATTTCACAGCCGTCTTAGTTACGCTAAATGAGCTAATTTTTTTCATAATTTATTCCTAAACATTGCTTATCACATTATTTTCTTTCATTGGTTGATTTATTTTGATAATATCTCTTTTTTCGTTTTTTATGTGCGCCCTCCCTACTTTTGAGCATTGTATTTACTTTTGATCTGAGATTTTTGTGAAAACGTCTGGCATTTATTCATTTGTTCATTAGAACCTCAAGAAATAAAGCTATGTAATTACTTGTTTCCTTAACAAAATTTTATTGTCATATGGAAATGTACACAAATTTGACAACGTTGTAAAATTCCGTACAATGTGAATGCCTTGTATCTATCATATAAGTTGGTATACAACGTTGTAAAACTCCGTATAACGTCGCATAAACGAACATAAAAATAAAGTTTTCCTATTACACACGTTAGCAAGATCGTATATGAATATACGATTAATAAAGATTTGAATAATCCAATGTTCTAAACAGATATAAGCATATTTTGCATTTCATTACTTCAACAAAATTATTTGATGTATGAAAAATTAATCAGTTCAGTTTACATCAAAAAGCCGAAACGCTTGTTTATCCTGTTGACGTAAATGATGTCTACAGACGACCAATGCGTGTTACGAAATTGAGAGGCACACTTTTTCCCAAAATACTTGACAAAAACAACCTTCCAATGAAATTTTTGTCATCTATAGTCTCAACGAAACCTTAACTAAGGTATATAAGTTTTCTAATCGCTTTCGAAAATTTTGGTATGAGTACTACTCTGACAGCAACGGCTACGGTATCTTCGTCGAAAGTAAGAGAACTCTAACTTGCTTATGAAATGTTGATCCTGTTGATAGACGTACCATATTCCTGGAAAGTCCTACGTGAGTCTTGGAGCTTGAAAACTGGGTCTGTAAATCAAAATAGAGGATACCCGGCCTGGGTCGCATTTATGATCAGTGCACACTTTAATTTAAGTAAAAATGAATTATTGGACCAATATAATACAATATTTTTTACTGGTTATATTGCCAATAGGTGGAAACTTGCAGCAGTTGTTCTAATTTGAAAGTCTTAAAATGTGTTCATTCCATCCAACTGTCGACCAATCTCTGCTACTTTGTTTCTCAAAGTTATTGGAAATACTATGGCATCTAGATCATCTTGCTGTCTTAAATTCAAGATCTTAGCAAAAATTAGAAAACGTTAAATAGTTTTAAGCGGGGTACAAGCTGTCTGCACATCTGCAAGCTCATCTGCTCATCAATTAGCAATGAAAGCAATTTCTGAACGATATCATGTCACAATTATTTCAATGGACTTCGAAAAAGCATTTAACAGGTTGAGTGTTTATGTGAATTTAAGCCTCATGGTAGTCGTAGAAACTTGGGCCTAAATTCTTCAGTTACATCAAGTCATTCATGTTGCACAGGCGATTTAAAATTAGAGCTAACAATCATCTCTCTAAATATATCATCCTAATGAGTGGTATTCCACGAGCATCTCTTTTTCGGATTTTTCTTCGACGAAATCCTTAAAACTCTTCGCCATATCCCGAAAATTGAACATTTTATCTACGCTAATTATGTAACTAAAGAGAAAGGTAACACGAAAGCAATCAACATCCACGAATTTACTGTGGACAGGCTTCTCATGCGCGAAAATCTCAATACGAAGGGAATGCAGAAAATTGACTGATGTACATTAATAGTTTACCAATACAAAATGTGCACACGTTTAACATTCGCGTATTCTCGTCCTTCAACGAATACCGTTGGGAATCACACTCTCTTCAGTTGAGAAGTTCCATTTTAACTGGAGTGAACTTCATGAAGTACAATGCTTGGAAAAGCCAGGCATATGTTAACACTATTGCTTACATTAGCAAAATGTTGGTTTTACACAAAATTGACTATGGTCTGATAATTTATGCAATGTAACACAGTGAAGCCAAAGCTGCCCTTCAAACTATAAACCTTGCTTCCAGGAACAAAGTCACAACTGTTATTCGCACTGATAGCCTGTCTATGTTAAAATCACTCCGGAATCCCTTTACTCCCAGTTAGTGCACCATTAACATTGCAACAAGCGGTGGTAACATCAATACGATTTGGGTACCTAGCCCATATCGGTTTATTGCGAAATGGGCATGTTGACAAAGCGGCGATATCTTATTCTTCTGACCGATATCATGGAAAAGTTGGGCATTCAAAGATACTTTGGCAAGAAAATTAAAGAGAAAATTGTGAAAGTATATCGACAATACTACTTCTTTTTTGTTCTGTATTCCTTTATTATATCCAACTAATATTGACATAATCAAGATCAAGGGGTTTGTGAGAATTCGTCTTGGCCATACAATCGCAACAAACCGATTGATTGTTAAGAAATTTTTTTCTTGAATCTGCAATTATCGACAATACACTACCATCTTACTGTCTACAAATTTCCTTTATTAACAGAATCGCATACGGGGTAATTAATAGTAAGTAAAACCACTATAGTTTATATAAAATCTTTTCTTAATAAGCCGTGGCGAAAGTAATCGCGAAAGTTGTCTGATTCCAACCATTCTCAATAGGGTTCGTTATTGGGCCAAAACATGTCAGCGTGCCAAGTTTCATTAAAATATCTCAAAATTTGCGACCCAAGTTGAATACAAGAAAATAATACAGACAGTTAGACAAGCTGAATTCGAGTCAGCAAATGATTCTGAATAGATCAATATAGTAAAAGGTGTGTGCGTATTAGTTACGTGTTCGACTGCTTTACTTGAAATCCGGTATCTTGCAATAAGTGCACAATTGGAGCCCGTGGGCTCTCGATAGTAACGTAAGAGACCTCTACGTGAAGTTACCACCACTATTAACAAAAGACGCAACAACTTGGAAAGTGAAATATTTCTATAATATAGATAGGTTGCAGTTTTAAAATACAAATAATTGCCGCTTGTTGTGCAACTCTTATTATCCTAAGTTTTATCTGCCAGTTCACTCTATTTCGTAGGGTTTGCCTAATGGGTCCTAATGGGCGATCCACTGCTGCTTGAAGTTATGACTTTCAAAGAACTAACCCGCAGCTGCTAAACAGTAGGCTTGTGAATATTATTGTTGTAACGTGGCGTCCTCCTACCTTGAAAGAAGATATAGTTGCATTAGTCTCTACAAAACCAACATGTCATAAATAGTCAGGTCTACCCTGATTCAACAGAGGATTAAGGGTCCTGAAGAACAAAAAGATTAGATCCTATAATATATTCATAAAAAGTTGCTCGTCTAATGATTATTCTATATATGCTACGATGCAGCATAGACTTAATTATTTTAATAACGTGTGTAACATGCTGTCTTCTAAGGATGAAATCCTCACTTTCATTCAATCCTAACTAACTATTTTTCCAATTTTGCAAACTCAAAACACTATTCCAGTCATCATATAGAGATCGAGACTATTTTGAAGGACAAGAAATGTCGGAAATTTTTACAGAATACTTCCAGCTTAGCTCTTACACTGAGAGCAATGACCAGAAGATAGTTTATCCGTATAGCTCGAAAAACTGTTATTTCCAAAGATGAAGTTCAACAAAGCATAGAATCATTCAAAAGAGCTGTTCTGCAAGCCCGGACGGAATCCCATCTTGTATACTTATAGCATGTGCTGATGAAACTGATGTGTTTCCAGCGTGTTGGAAAAGTATTTTTCTCATCCCTGTTTATAAAGTAGACGACGGGAACAAGGCAGAGAACTACAAACGTATTGCAAAATTGAAGGTGTTGTCAAAATTGTTCGGGAAAATTGCTATTCCGCATATAACACAAGCCATGAAATCGTGTGTCTCTTCGGTTCAACATTTATATCAGGAAGGCAGATGTACAGTTAATAATCTCATGGAGTTCACCAATCACATTGGAAAGACTTTCTCTTCAGGTGGCCAAGTGGACATTATATATATAGAATTTAGTAAGGCTTTTGATCAAATAAATTACAAGTTATTGATTTTTCAGCTGCATGCCTTAGATTTCTCCTTGTACGTAGTAAAGTGGACTAGCTCATACCCCTTTAAGAGATCTTATAGTGTGCTGTTTAACTCGAGTCTACTGAATTAAAGGTAATGTCAGAGTTCCTCGGGGAATTGACCTTGGACCTATTCCATCTGTGCTTTTTATAAATGATCTCTCATACGTGATCAAATTATCAAAAATGTTACTGCAGATGACATGCAACTGTATAAGGCTGTTCATATGGGAGTACGTCTAGAAGTCTGCAAATTGATTTAAATAATTTAGTTACTTGATGTTCGGTTAACGACTTAACTTAAGTCGGACAGTATATTAAAAAACAATAATTTAAAAATTCATATAAGTTGGAGGGCACAGATGCGACTTATGATTTAGGTGCGCTAGGATTCGTTAAGCGCTGGGCTCGTGAATTCAATGACGCATATACTGCGAAGAGACTGTATATGACGTCAGTTAGACGAATGTTGGAGTATGCTGCGGCGGAATAGCCTTCGCTTTAGCGCTGTTATGTGAGTGGAATCGAATCGATGCAAAAACAATTCTTGCTCTTTGTATTAAGGAATTTGCCATAAGATCCTTTTGTAACCCTTCCATCATATGAAGATAGATTACTACTCATATCATTACCCACACTGAAGAAACATCGATTAATGTTCTTGTTCGACCGTCTAGAAATTATCAGCTGTTAAAGGTTAGCCAATATGAAAGCAATTATGAATTACTTATCCCACTTAGGCTTCTTAGCCATAATTTAAATAAGGTTCATAACCTAATTAATATATCTGATTCTATACTTGATATAAGCGCTCGGACATTGCCAATGTCATATCTTCATGATAATGATCAATAAATGCGTGAGTGATCTACAACATTGGCTCAAGTTTTGTGGTGTTGGATGTTGCATTATTGTTGTTTGTTTAATTGTTAATAGCCTAATTCAGCTGATAGGTAAGTCGTTGAATTGAAAAAATGGGAAATAAATGAATAATATGGGGTGGGCGCGGCTGATTTTTGGCAAAATAAATATTTTTGTCATAGAGGCATGTGGGTGTTGTAGGCGTGTTCTTTGAAAAGTTTGGTTCACTTCTAAATTCTTTTGCAAATTTGTAGGCGATATCTTCATCATCGGTACACAGTAGAGCCAACGGGCAGATGGACAAACGAAGCGACCAACATACTTATTCGCAACTATCCAAGAATTTGTATAATTTACGGGGCTTCTGAAGCTAGTTTCTGCACATTATAAAGGTATTGAAAAAATAATTAAATTTTGACTCACTACAATATTGGATGGGGATGGTCGATTTTTTACAGGTACTACAGCATAGTCCGTAGCATATGCGTTTAAATTTTTATGTATTCATCTGCTATAGTTTATAAAAAATGGACAAAAAACCAATTTTTTGTTACTTTCGAAAAATTGAGGTGCTCCCAGTTCACGTGATAGTGTAGGTGTGTCCTTCGACCGATTTGCTTCATTTTCGATAACTTTATTTTTGGGAACCAGAAGAGTGCATATAACAGACATTATACGGACAGACGGTTGGACGGACGGACGTACTTATTGAAATCGATTTAGAATTTGATGCTAATCAAGAATATATATACTTTGTGTTCTCGGCAGGTTCCTTCTGGACGTTGGTAACGTTTTGACGAACGGACGGACGGACGTACATAGTGAAATCGATTTAGAATTTGATGCTAATCAAGAATATATATACTTTGTGTTCTCGGCAGGTTCCTTCTGGGCGTTGGAAACGTTTTCACAAAATTAATACACCGCTCATTCTTCGGTGGTCGGTATAAAAATGAGAATTACAAATTATAAACTGAATATGACGAACTGAAAACGATATCATTTTTTTATCCACACATTTTTAAGACTGAGTGTCAACGTCTTCTATTGTATAAGGTCATCCATTTTTTTGGTTTTGAAAGTAAACGTAAAGAAAACACATTTCTGATTGGGATTTATACCAAAGTGTTTTTCAATATGTTGTTTGGACCTTCGTACTATTTGTAGAACACAACACATGCATAGTTGTATAGCATACGAAACTGTTGTTAAAACTTATTACGAAGAGAGTGAACCCACTGTATTTTTTTACACACTGCAGACGTGTTCCAGTAAATTGTCTACGTCGATCTGTCAAGAATACTTTCAAATTTTACAGTTGTGAGATTTCCAAAGCGAACTGCAGATTGTTAAATCAATTTTGAATTTTATACTAAACAAGAATGTATCGCTTATGGATTTTGAGATGTTTACATGTGTCGATGTTACAAGTGGCATTAAAAATTTGGCATATGTCTATAACGTGTAGAAGTAAGAACTCCATATTCATTTAACTGTATCGTCAAAAGATATGACAATAAATCTCCGATCTAACCTGCCTTCTTTTAGGGCCCTTACAATGCCGCATAATAAACGCCATTGATCCTTTGTCCCTTCTCAAGACAGCCGATGAATATCATACTATGCACATACTAAAAGGCGAACTGCTTTCGCCGGTCGCTATCCGCTCGGCTAATTGCCGAACTGAGTCTTCAGTGTAATGATGATTCCAAGTTTTATTCATTCTCACATATCGCATGAAAAAATCTTTTTTATTTCATCTGAACGGCTCCAGTAGGTAGTTGTTGCGGCACCCGCTTTGAACAGACCTTTCTCATGGATAAATGTCAAACAACTTCACGTTGGGATCTTCCAAGACAATTTTGCGTACTTTTTTTATGTGGTTTGGAACAACTGCCCGATTCGAATAACCAAAGCGTTCAGCATCATCGATATATATATGACTTTGTTTCAAATTAGTAAACCACCCATCAATTTAACTTCTGGATAGTCATGCATCTTTTAAGCCAATGCTGATTTTTTCCCATCAACAAGTAACGTTCTACTAATAAATGAAATTCAGAGTTGGGGAGTTGCAAAGAATGTAGGTTTCGAAAGTAACAAAAGAAGGCCTCTAGTAGTAGCATTTAATGTAAAAGTTGGTACTATTCAGAAATCGTACGAGTCTGTCAGCAGTCTTTCAATACATGTATGTCAGACCGGAGACTTATCGAGTGATATATATACACTTTATAAATAAGCACGAATATTTTTTCACATATGCAGAATATGTATAACAAATATAAATGCTATATTTGCCTTTGTATTTTAAAGATTTACTGCGGTGACGAAAAAATTAGAGAATATTATAATTATGAAAATTAATGATAAATAAGTTCAATTGACTTTAAAAATATTATCTAATTATCAATTTGAAGTTTTGCAGTTTAGTAAAAAGTTTATAATTAAACAAATCAAAACGTACACTTTTGATAATGATCTCCATTAACTGTAGCAGGTCCAGCGGCACTGCTGACTGTTTCTCCTCCAATGGCATAGGCGCTTTTTCCATGATTACCATTGAAAGTATTGGCAATTGATGCAGACGATAGTTTTGAAACCAGCGACTTAACCATTACATGCGTTATATTATATTGTTTGAAATGAGTTTATTTGCAATAACTGACGTATGCAACGATAATTGTTCCAAAATCATTTAAATATAACAAGCACTGCACTTACTACCTCTCACTAAATCATTTTCAATAACGTAAACAAAACGTACGCGCTTACGCCACTAAAATTTACATGCGGAATATATTTATTTATAAGCAGATATTTATGAATTTTTTTTTCTTTTTGTTTTAGTGCAACAACAAATGTAACACAACACAAGGTCTTACCAATATCCATAGATGCATACATATATAGCACATTTTTAGGGTCCTATATAAAACATTAAAGAGAGCCTAACATTCTACCTATGTAGTATACGCAATCTGTGTCTCCCATCAGCATCTATTTCTTACGAACTACATAACTAAGATAATTTCGCAGCTTAGATTTTGTCTATTACAACTCTAATCTATTCAAAATACTAAAATATTCATTTCATAGAGATGAAACATAGAGATGTTACAAATTATTATTTTATACAAATATGATTTTAATTTTTTTTTTTTTTTTTCAATGACACAAATGCTGCAAACTAAATAGCGTCAGATTATTTGACACAATTTCCACCACTTGTATTACTTTTAATAATTTGAAAACGTTAAAGATTTTTTTCGACGAATTCTTAAACGTGTGTTTAGACTTCGTATTAAATAAAAAAATGAAAAAAAAAAAAAAAACAAATAAATAAATAAATAGATAAAGCAATAAAAAGAGACATAATTTGTTTGTAATTATTTTCGTTATTATTTGGAAAAAACATTAAAATATTTATATCGCTAAACACAACGAGTTACATTATGCGTTATGCGTGACGCATGCACTGTGAAAATAGTTAAACTGTAGAACATAAAGTTCGCATTGGTGCAAATTTTTGGCCAAATTTTAAGTTTTCTACATGCATCGCTTTTGACAAGCAAAATGGCGATGTATTTTTGAAAACAGAACAACATCATAAGGTTGCAGGCATTAAAATGGTTATTTGCATTCTCATTATTGCTGGGACTAGAAAATTAAATAAAATTGAAATAGTTCTTTGCGATTTTATTATTTGATAACCAGTAGAAGGATGAAAAAATTGAACTAAATTAAAATGAATTAGGTAAACGGAAACGATGGAAGAACAGTTAATAAACGCAGCGTACTAGAGACAAGATATATATTGCAAACGCTCGCCAGGCTTTTAGAATGAAGTGACAAGCGGAAAAGCGTTGGACGTTATATCCCAGAAAGTGGCCACGTCCAGTAAGTATGATGCAAAAAATTTGCAAATTATTGAATTGAACAGTGCGAAGAGAGGTGGAGAGATAGAAGTCGCTGAAAGACCGCTTTACTAAGCACTGCTTATTTGCTCTTAATAACACGAAATGCAATTCTACGGCGCAACGCAGGTTTTAGATCTCAAAGCATTGAGTAAATGGTACCGGCGAATTTTCGCTAAGTGGCACAGCTGGTTCTATTAGGGGATGCGAAAAGACGACAAATTTTTGGGAGTACTCACGACATTATGGAAAAAGAAATTGAATGAAAAGAAAAAGGTAATGACGACCAATTCGAAAGTGTTTGTGTGCGCATGTGCCTGTGAGTAATACAAATTGCTGCATATATCTAAATGAAGAGTGTACTCCTTTGTTTCGCTTTATAAATGAAATCTTTTTTTTTATTTATATTTTTAAACAAGCTTGTCCTATATAATATTGTAGTTATTTTTATGATTGTTTTACAAAAAAATTTTTGAAATATCGCGCAGCTAAAGTTATTTTGGTAGCATTATTTGCCGATAACCTCCTTTCATTCCGCAGTCGTGCTATGTTCTATCTTCACAATCGCTATTCACTTCAGAATTTTTAATCAGAGCCCTTTGAAGCCACTACCACGAACATAATTTAAATTTTAAATTTTTGCCATCCATTTTCTTTCTTTCAAATTTTTTCGTATAAATCTAGAAACAAGATGATATTAAGGATTGCTAATTAATTACAAATATTATATTATTGACCATTATGTGAACTTACCATATATAATTAAAATACTTTTCTATTTCCTAAAATTTACTATTTTTTGTTCTTTTATCTTTTGGTTTACTAAAACGCTCTTTCGCTATATTAATTTTGCGCTTCCTAATCGGCGTCTATGTACACGAACGCTCTAGCCAGATGATATTGCTTTAGCAACGCAAGCAAGCTATGTGTTCAACTGATTTGGTGTTTTGCGCAACGGACAACACAAAACGCAATCATCGTGTGCAGCGCATAAGTTGTTTATAATTTGCATTTGCATTTTGTGAAACTCAGTCAGAAGAGAATTTTCTGGCTCTCGCAGACCGTTATTCGCTATACTTATATACAATAAGAGTACATAATATAAAAAGCTCCACAGATGGGAATGCTATGTACATTCATCACCCGGAGTTTACGCTACATTCATTTCTTCAAACACGGGAACGAGCTACAAAAACTCTACAAAGTGTGTATATGTTTTCGATCACTATCATAATGTGCCCGTCCATGTAATGCCTATATTAAATATCCGTCGTCCAAGTCTACAGTACAACATAAACTGAGAACACTTCTGTATAAAAAAGCAAAAATATTTGAAGGGTATGAAGATAAATTCGAATTTAACTAGTAAAGACACCTACCATTTCTGTTAACATAACTCTGTTAACGACTTAACAGAGCTCATGTTAAATAATTACAATTGCGATATAACTGGATTTGAAAGCCTACGCCGTCTATATTAAAAAAAGGAAAATATTTTTGTGGATATTTTTATCTCCACACCCTTCAAATATTTGCCATCCGCATGAGTAGCCGGGTAAACAAAAAATTGCGGCTTACTCAGGTCAATGGTCCTAAGTGCGGTAGAGTTTTCAATACGGACGAGCATATGATCCGGCAGCCTTTAAAATCATACTTTGTAAATTTATTATCAATATATAGAGATAATAAATAGATAAATAAAACAATTCGGCGAGGACCGAATCTCGTATATCAACCACTAAGCTCTTCGCATTCTACTCTCTAAGGTCTTTTATTTGATACCCATATCGCTGGTATTATTAAGAAAAAATTAATCTACCAGGTCGCGGTGACTACCATCTATATTTTGGAATTAATCCATTTTAATGTACCTTCATTTGAGGGCTGTTCAAAATAGTTTTAACCATTGTGTCGGGTTTAGCTTATCATAAATAAGCATAAAATCTCAAAAAAGTGAAAAAAAAAAATATAATAAAATTTAATCACTGCCGATCACGGCCGATTTTTTTTTTTTAATTTTTGCGCGTAAACGGTAGAGTGTTTCGTAAAGTAAATGTGGAAAATTTCGGCGTATAATTTCTGAGTAAAAACCCAAAAATGTTTGTTAAGAAAGAGGAGCTGCGTTCAATTTATACCCCACAGCGGGCTTCTGCTCTGACCTATTTACACCATTTTTAGTACCAAGCTGTGCGCAAAAACTCCTAATTTTTCTACCAAATTTGAAATCGATACCTTCATTTTTGCGACCAGGAGAGTGCCAACAATACATACACCACATACGCAGACGGACAGACATGGCTAGATCAGTCCAAAATTTCACGCTGATCAAGAAGATATATACTTTATAGGATCTCTGAAGCTTCGTTTTGGGTGTACTTTCATCCTTCCGCAGTGGGTATAGATATATTGTTGCCGATCAATGCGATGAAAGTTTCAATGTATATTCTATGGGTGATCTTAGTGTACCTATATAAAAGTGAAAAAATTTGCCACGCCCTTATATGATGAGTATAAAAGATAGGACCATGGCCGAATATAATTTTTTTACTTATATCAAATACATATTCGTTTAAGAGATGTTTGACAGCTGCTCAAGACACAAGTTTTTAAATCAACAGGCTTCCATGATACAAGCATGTTCATTCAAAAAGATTAAGTGCAGACTAATCATTATATAATTAGATGTGCAGCTTTTTCGATTCATGGAATTAAAATTAAAGAAAGGTTTAGTTCGCCAACCTTTAAGAAAATGTCGCGAAATATTACATATTCAGAAGACGAAGTAAATGCCACATCTCGGGTTACAATGGATTCGATCTAGTGAATGCGAAATCCGATTACAGCAAAACGTATAGTTTCTTTGCCTTCCTGAGCAACTTAGAGCGTACCTCAAGCAAATATATTTCGCTATTACATAAGTAAAAACCCGCGACACCAACGCAGCGCAGCTATTTTTAATTAAAAAGTTCTCTGGGCAATTTTCTCCTTTAATCGAATCAAAAGCGTTATGTAAAAATTCGTTCATTTATTCATCTTCTTTTTAAGATGTGTGTAGTAGTGGGCTCATGCTTCGTTCGTTGCTATATATTATATCTTTAGTTGTTCGCAACACGCCCAAAAAAAAATGACATATGCAAGGAATGTTAAGAATGTAGTCACATAACAAAACGAATTAAAATAAAGTTTAATAGAATTAAAGATTGAAAGAACATTCTTCTACGCTTACACTTGAGATTTAACGTCTCTGTTTAACATTTCTAAGCTCAAAGGAAATAAATTATGATTACTTAAAAGGGAATGTTCAACAATCTGTTTAAATCCTATTAAGGATTACATTGAATTTATTATCTTGGGTTTTAGCTTTCCATGCATCTTCGTTAAGTTTACCCGTTCATCGCTATTTGCCGCCCGGACCAACATTTCTTTATTTGCCTCTCTGGACTAGAACGTTGAATATTGAAAAGTGGGAAATATTTGTGCTGGGACAATGATACCATGGATCGGGCTAAGAATTGGATTGGTTTGCCGTAATTGTTTCATATACAAAGCAAAGTCGAATCGATAGCTAGAACTAACACATATGCATATGTATGCAAATGAAAGCATTATAGCATTATAGTTGGACTGGACCGACGATTAACTACCACTACACCACACTGTCGAACATGATTTTTATTTTTGCCATAGAATAGAAAAGCTACACCCCTCTTTTCTATATAAGCGTACCCTTATGGAACTGTATATTAAAAATTAGACGTCTTTGCAACTAAAGGCTTACTTTCCGTAAAAATGTATGTGCCCATGAGGTTCTTAAATATTGGTGCGTATTCAAAATTTAGCATAGTAAGTGTGGTCGAAAAAATGAACCGGCCCAAACCATTTTCATTTTCGATAGCATTCGTCCTTGGGTCGAAACACGTCCATGTACAAAATTTCAGCGAAATATATTTAATAAATTGCGAGCTGAAGCATGAACACAAATATACATTGACAGACATCAGACGCACATACATTCTTAGAACGATCGGCATAATAAAAGGCGGGTCTAGTTTAAGCGCTTCTGCGCGTTACATACGTCCATACAACCTAATATACCCTGTGCCCCTCAAGACAGGTGCAGAGTATAATTATATAGATGTACTGCATAGAATGTGTAATGAATATATGATATGTTTGTGGTGGACTTATACATCAAAATACATCTGATCGAATCAAATCAATAATATTTGCATAAACTTAAATGTTAGATCCGCCTGTATGTGCATCATATGTCATTTACCCAAATGTCAAAGTCATATTGCTTGTACGCGATTACATATGGTTGAGCATGGAGCTTGCATTGCTAGCATTACTGCGATGATACGTTGGTGATATTACCAATTATTGTTACAATTATATACATATATATATATATATATACATATTGTAACATAGGAAAAAAGATTCAAATTGTTTACAGGTCAAAAGAAAAGACAGCTTACAAAGAAATTTTTGTCCTTTGTCAATATTTATGTAAGTAAAAACTGAACACAGCAGCGCAATGCAAGCTGTATGTTCTATTTGCTTAGTGTATTGCATTACTACAACAATACGCGATGCGAATGCATTTATTCTGTTTAGCGTTTATTTGCCATTTACGAGTTATTTGTATTTATCCCTTCTCTTTGCTATGCATATGGAATTAAGGGTGTATCACTTTTTACGTCTCGCTATATCGTTAAATAAATAAATTCTCGACTGCATGGCCGTATTGTTCTATGAGTTAAGTTATATAAATTCAAATTATTCGACTGAGCTATGTTGATTCAGAGGGAATGATAATGAAAAAGCAGCGCAGCTTTATCTAAGCAAAATTCATCAATCACATACAATAATAATGTTTATATATGTATGTATTTATGGTAATTGAAACTATTGGATATCGATGTTGAAAAATTAAACGTATAGGAAGCAAATTGAAGTTTGAAAGCTTTTATAAAAGGATTAAATTGGCAAATGTTATAATGTTTAACGCAAGCAGGGATCGAACCATATGCAAATTGTTTTTTTCAGCTGTACAAAACTTGCAACAAAATATGTTGCTGTAGAGGCTTTTTTTTCATCATAATTTTGCTCAAATTGTTTGTTGTTTATAATAAAACACTTCCGACACACGCTTCATGTAGTTTTATAGGTAGTAGAACAACAACAAAATGTTAAACGGGATTTTACACAAGGCCAAGTATAGCAGGAAACTCGGTGAAGTTAGATAAGAAACACACCAAAATAATGTTAATATAATTATTTATATTAAAAAAATGAAAAATATTTGTTAAGCAACTTTGTATAGATCAAATTCTCATTGCAATCTTTTTCCAGCTATACTTTTTAGCATCTATAGGCATGTATGTATGTACGCATATATAAAAGAATGTGAAGGTATTTATAAGATGTATATGTATTTGAATAAATTCGCCTTTTAACAAATTTGAGGCAATTGCATCTAATTTTTTTGTAATCTTTGAATAATTTTCCTTCACGTTGTATACTACGCTCTATTGTATAGTTAAAATATGTGTATGCGTGAAAAGACTGCTCAAAAGTAATTAAATCGTATATATTCTATATTGTAAATGGATATATATATATCCATATATATATTTAGAGAAGGAAATAACACTACACACCTGTCTTTGCCTCTCTATATAAATTTAACTGATTTTTCTCTAATTTGTTTTTTTTTTTTTTAATTAATACACTTATATGTTCATTTGTGTATTTATTATAATGTTTTTTTTTTTTATTTATGGGTTTATTATCGACGGGTTTAATTTAATTAATTCAAATACTAAATAGACTTTTTATTCACTAATATATTCCGCAAATTTTTATTAATTTCTTTCTATATAACACTTGTTTCGTTTAATTTGAATAATTCATTTATTTGCATTTGCGTTTTTCATTGTATTAGATAATTTTCAACAACGAGCAGCAAAAAAAAAAAACTTAAAAAGCAACCAAACAAACTCTCTATTAATCGAATTTACTTTGAATCAAGTAAGGGATGCCAGACTGTACATTATGCGTATTAAATAAAAAGATGACAGATTAGTCCAATTTTCTGTTTTCCTTTATAACAAGAAACACCGAAAACGACAATATTATTGAATTAGTCATTTCTATACAAACTACATCGATTTCACTTATATTAAGTTGCTCGATATATAAACAAAACTGACAATTTAGAAACAACAACAGCATATTTCACATGTGCCATTCGATGAGGATCGAATCATTTTCATATAAATTTTTATCATAAGAGTGTCCCACTTATCTGCCTGTAGATCATTTTAATATCGTAGAGGTTGATGGCTGAATGCAACAAAGGTTTAAAGGCGAGCGGATAAACGGATTTTGTAACACAGATGATCTTTTTTAACCCTTGCAATATCTGACTGATAAACAGAAGTTCAGTCTTTAATAAAACACGAGCGAGTAAATAATTTTTCTGTTAGAGCTTTCTCTCCCTCTCCCTCTCTCTTGACACTCCTGCGAGTCAAAAGGGCAATGCAAAATAAATTCTGCAAAACAATTAATTGGTTAATTGATTAAGATAACGAATATTATTGATTCATATTAAATTTTTATTCTTTTATATATCTTATTAAACAAAGGGAAAGAAGTCCAAAGCTTTGTATTGATAATTCGTTTTGACATAATTGAAATAAAAAGATTTTGAATATATGACACAAAAATTATATTCAAGATTTATCTCATGCTGCACAATTATCAATAGTTAATGAACGCGCGTTTTTTTTTTTAAAGCTATTAAAAGAATTCAAAACATAATGGGCATAGAGAATTAATAGAAACATATATAAGAAAAAGTTTTCGCAATTATGCTACAGCCTGGAATTGATGGATGGCAATCGTTACCGTGCCATTGCCTATTTTCCGCAAGTCTGCTTGTCAGGTCCATTGTATAGAAAATTTTTGCTTCCTTTTAAATTTATGTTAAATATATTAAAAGTAATTAATATGTTCACAAAGAAATTTTCAGACATTTCGAGGCTTGGATTTTGGTATAATTTATTGACAATTTTCACTAACTTCAGCATATAGTTTTTATGTAAAAAAACACGGATGTTACAAAAGCAAGAAATAAGGACGACTAATTTCGAAGTAACAACGCAAATCTTAAATTTTATTTTTACATTGTATTATTTTAATTCTAATCGCTTATGAGAATCATGTAAAAAATTAAAATGTTATTGTTTTGATTTCAAATTATATAAAATAAAAAAATAAATAAATAAAAAAATAAGGATGGTGAGCAGCAAATAAAATATTAAATGACTATCTGAGGACTGTCTGAGTTCCCTAAAAAATGGATTATTAAATTAAAAATTTTAAATAAACTAACAAACAAGTCTTAACAAATATCCTACAATCCATACCCTCCACTTCAATAGATAGTCCGTTAATTAGTTATTAGCCGAACTGAAACAAAGTTTGTTATATAAAAATAAAAAATTCTTAAGAAAAAAATACATTTTTGTTGCAAGTTCTGCTTAAGCTATAGTTCGGTTCATGGCTCGTAAAGTTGTTATCAAATGCAATGCCACATACGTACAGTTCCTCAACATATTTTGTCCTCGATTCGGCTCTTCCTGTTCAAGCTATGGGATTACTTCTGACTATGAAACGGTGAGGCACAACATCGCATAATAATACACATTTTGTGACAGAAGTTAATTTGGATATCACAACTACAACCATTTTTGTTTTTGTGTTAAATGTTATTTCAAAGGGAAGTAAAAACAATTTTTGGGAAATATGGAATAGAAAATAATCCGAAACTTTAAGTTGAAAGTTCAAGTAAGCCTCAAAGGCTCAAAGGCATGATAAGATAAGAGTTAAATCTTTTTTACATAATACGGTTTGAAATTTTGATTTATACCTTACATTATATTTCGCATTCGCTCACGATTTCGCTTGTTTACATTTATTTTGATTTACATATTTTTACCTCTCAAACGATATAATAAGATTTCAAGTCTTACCAATTTTAATCGATTACTATTGATACGAATACTTGGAAGGTTATTTTTCAAAACGAAATAAAACCCTTCCAATTTTTTTACAACCCTTTTAAACCTTTACAATTACCGATAATTGTTTACATTTTAAAACTTTTTTTTCGCGTGTGGTGAAAAGTAAACAAAAAAAAAAAAAAAATGCGAGACTGCAAGAAAAGGCCTTTGCTCGCCCCGCTCATACACTTTTGAAGCCACCAATAATAAACACATAATATTGTCGTGTTCGCTTGATTTGCCATATCGTTTGACAAGTAATAATAAGGAAATCAAATGAACAACGTGGGCCTTGCTTGACAATAAAATATAAAACAAATGTGTTATATAAAACAAAATTTTTTTTTTTTTTTAGTATGTTGAATGGAGATGGACTAAGCCAATAGATTTGTGGCTTATATGGCCATAAAACAAAATTTAAAATCATAAAATATGAACAACGTTTCAAAATAGTAGAATAAACACCACGATGTGTATAATTCGTTGTTCGAGTGGTAAGCAGAATGAGAAGCTACGTTGCCATATTATTTTATAAGAAAAACTACAAACACCATATGCTTTGGGGAGTAAAACTGAAGAAGTCAACATAAATCTTAATAATAATAAATAAATGTGGAACAATAATAAGATAGGTAATGTGAAAGCAAATTAACTTCTTGGTTGATTAATAAAATAAAGAATGAAGGAAAATGGCTTAAAAAGAAGTAGCATGGTGGTGGCGATGCTAATGCAACTAATGCAACACTACTACAATAACAACAAAAAACAAATATATATTTAAAATTGGAAACAAAATGTCTCTATTGCTATCAGTTAATTTCTTATAAATCAATATATTGTATATATTTCCTAGTTTAAATCGGTTAGGCTTTATTTCTCCTTGTGGGTTTTTTTTCTTTTTGTTTTATTTACGGGTGTACATGCAAAAATCCCGACGAAGCCCCGTGCCAATTCCCACAAAGTCTCATAAAATGTCGTCAAAGTTAAGGTCCCATCCCGAAAATAGTGTCATTGTGTTTAAGCGAATTGAAATTAAATTTGACAAATTATCTTTTTACACTGCAATAAATATCGTCTCCTTTTTTCTCTTTTTTCTTGTGACATATCGTTGCACATCTTTGCCTTTGTTTGCTTGCGTAAAATCTGCACCTGCTGAACTGCCAAAATCCGGCAAAAAGTCTTATAAACAAAGTCGAATCATTTTTGATAGGCCCAAAATCTCAAAATATCTCAAAACTTGAACACAAAAAGATAGCGCAGGCAGACGGACGGACGGACGAGCTTAAATCAAGTCAAAATGTGATTCTGAATTTATATTGATATATGTGCTAAACTATTGCCTAAAATAAGATATTACAATTTATGATTGATCCGCTGCAAATCATTTTCAATAGCTTTCGTCGTTGCATCAAAACGCGCCAGTATACCGAATTTCATCAAAATATCCCAAAAATTGAATACAAGAAAACACGGCAAACAGGCGGACGGACAGGCTTAAGTCGAGTCAAACATTAATTCTGAATTGATTGGTATAATAAAAGCAGGCCCTTTTTTGCATATATCCGCGACATATCTTGATATATCTTTGCGCCACCAGCTGCGGGAGTGCATAATAAACACTGATTTAATTGAGAATAAGAGAAATCTTATCGATGTGAGAAAAGAGCAATGTACTAAAAAATATGAATAAGAAATATATATGTTTAGGAGTAAAATATGCCAGCCTTTAAATTGTTTATTTATTTGCATCTGATTTTTATGATTTAAATGAGACGAATGAATGAATAATAGAAGCAAATAAATAAAAATATTTTATTTTCACAATTATTTGTGGATATATTCAATTCATTCACTACTAGTACATACTTTCTAGAAATATATTTCACAAAATACGCGCCGTAAAATAGTTCTCTTATTATTAATTTTTATTACATCTCTGTATGAAAATTTGTATATATTTGTACTACGGATTGTAGATATGATCTCGCGAAATAAGAGAAACGGCTTTTTATATATCGTTGCTCTTCTATAGTGTCGGAGTAGTAGTAGTAGTTTTTACCGGTTCATATATAACTGCTAGATATTGAAAGAGTTAGTAGACCTTAACTCTCCTCGATGCTCTCAAGATTCTATTCTGAGTAATTAAGTTCAAGTTCGCGTTCAAAAAAGATCCGCGATAAGTAGAATATGTGTAATAAAAATAAATTTAACTATGATTTTATAAATTTTCCGAAAGAAGTACACGCAACGCAATAACGCTGCATAAATATTCAATACTAAAAATGATTGTATTTTTAAATTCGAAAACATAATTAAAGTTGTAAGTAATGCTTGTAAATTAGGTGCGATTTGAAGCTTGCTCGCTCTATAACGAGAAGTTTTGGATGCGCTCTGCTATCTAACGTTAAAAATATTCACAAATTCAAAAAGTAGGTCACAGTGTCATGTCATATATCCCTTTAACAAAAAAGACTTGACACTCGCTTTAAGTGCTGCTTTTGAAATTAGAACATAATGGAGAGAGAGCAAGAAATGGATGAAATTTTCACAAAGAACAAAAGCTAAAGTTTCTTAAGAATTTTGCAAAACTTTGTTAAGTAACTAGAAAGTGACTTTCCATCTTCTAT